CTCCCTCTGCTCTTGCTGCAGCCGCCGCTGAACCTTGGCTGGTGTTTGGATCAAACAAATGAGATGTGATCCACAGGCAACCTGGGTGTGCCAAACAGGGTTGCATGTGTTTTTGGAGGGTATCCTGTTCACGTTACCTTAAAGGGGAACCTAAAGGAAAGCCCGGCACGAAGCATGCCCAAGTCTGGTCAAAATACAAAACAGTTTTCGGCTTCCTTTTGGGAAACCCAAAGCGGCTTTACAGCCAGGTCAATGAACAGAACCACACTGACATCAAAGGAATCCATCGCAGTTGAACCGCGGTTGCTTCTTCGTCCCTGGAAAGCATGTGCCAATGTTTCCAGTCCTGAAATCGATTCCCTTCAAAACCAACAGGGCAACAATGAACCACACATCATCATTTCAGCAGGAAGAATGTCCCAGCAGACATATACCTCAAAACCCAGGGCTCAGCATGATGCTTCGCTTCATTTCGGCCGGGTTGGGGCACCTCAAGCTGGCAGAAGGAGGGTTGTAGAGCCACGGCCAAACTCAGAGCCTTGAGAGTCGACTCGGCGTGCCCATGTCACTGTGGTCAATTCGTGTGTGCTCCCCTACAATTCACGGTAGGAAACCAAAGGGAGGGTCCTCCAAGAGAAGCTTCCTCTACAAATGGTGACTTTTTGGACTCCATGTTCATCTGCGGGTTGCAATTCACGTTGTCATCTGTTCTTTTGATGATTAGGAACATAGCTCACAAACCACGTTCGCTGCGCTGTAGCTGGACTCCCCAGATAAAAGACAACTTGTCAGTATATCAATATAATAACTTTATGATTACACACGGCGTTGCTGTCCTGACTATTCCTGATACTGACATCACAACCATCACCATCCTTTAATATGAGGATGTATATTCATATCATACAAACTCTATCAACTCGACTAGGACTAGACATTTGATCCTTAGGGAACCTGCACTTATCAGCAATTTAATAGTTGCGAGCTCACCGAATGTGGGTTGAACCAGCGAGTCCACCCATGATAAAGGCTCCCTACTCAAGGATTCCTTACTTGAAGGCTGCTGAATCATAGAAATGAGAGGCACTTGTTGGGGGTCCTTCAGAAACGGATTCCTTCCATTCCCATCCCCTCCCAAGTTCCTCAGCGGTCAGCCACACCCTTCCCCCCCTCCCCAAAGACTCGGGCGCTCCGCTCAAAGTCGCGGACCTCAGTGGTTTGCAGGTGGAGAAGATCCATGGGTCAGGAATCCCATGCGAATTTACCGAATGCCTGGGTCCCAGGGTTTCTAGTGAGGGCCTACCAGGCAAGGGGCGTTAATGTTGGCAGACCCTCGAGGAAAGGACGTCCAACTACTCAAGGAAGAAAGTCCTCCTTCACCACTTCCATGTTTGGAAAGAGGGTAGCAGGTACACACTTATCCCAACTCCAACCAAACAGCCGGCCCCAAAACATAGCCAAGCAAGGCGCACTTAAAGTGAAGGGTTGCGCGTCTTGCACTGCTGCAGTGCGTCCCATGCGGATCTGCAAAGACGAGAGGGGCTGAGCAAGCTTGTTGTGGGCTTACTGGGCCCTTCAAATGCTGCAAAGCTGTGTCCCTTGACAGTGAAACAGGATGTTGCTTTGAAAGAAGCATGGTTTGGAGTTTGAACATTGAGTCGTTGGCTCCGAAGCCCGTGCTCGCACTGCGGTCCGCGCCAAGTTCTTGTGATGCTCTGACTCCTCCTCTGGCTTTGGCGGCAGGTGGGACGGCCTGCCCGTCCGCGAGGCTTGGGCCCGTATGGGTTCGAATGGGCTTTCGAAATCTATGACAGTCATTTGTGGAAAGCGATCGGCCGCTTAGGACCCCTTGAATGGGCCGGAGGACAAGGTGGGCTAGCGGCTATGGTTTCCAACGGAACCACAGGGGTCCCTCAAAGATCTTCCTGGTACAAGCCATGGGCTATGCTTGCGGGAAGGGTAGAAATCCGTGCGGCCAAAACTCCCATGGATCTGCACAACCGGAAGGGCCTCGCCCGGAACCGGTTGCAAACCAATCGTTTCAAGAGCCCTAGAAGTTTGGGTTTGGACCACCATAAGGGAAGGGGGGGTGACAGACCTCAGGAACTAACATGCCCCTGTCAGCGCCAACACAACATGTCTTGTTTATACGCTGCGCTAGGATTCCTTCAGTGTTTGGCATGGCTCTGGTTTGAGCTCCAGGGGCCAAGTCCCCACTTCCAGTCTTGAGGACGCCTTGTTTGGCTGAGTTGTTGGCTTCGGCTTGGAAGCCATGGGAAGTCCCCCCCCCCCCCCCGACCCTCCCCCCGACCCCCCCCCCCCTCCCAAAGAATCAAAGCTCCAGCTACTCCCTCTTTCAAAAAGAAGAGCCGCAGCTGCACTCACACCGGTGCCCCCCCAACATGCTCGGAGTTGGGCTCGCCTACAAGATGTGACAGATTTCTATGAGCGATCGTGGACTGGGAAAAGAGTTGCCCGTGGATGAAACCTGTATCATAAGAAACCCCTGTGTGATGTTTCAACCCCTGGTTGACGTACTGGAGGTGTTCCCGAAAAGCGGACTTCACACTTTCGAGGGCAAAACTGATGTCCGTCAGATTCCCCCTGCACTCCAAATCAATATGGAACCCCACCAGAAGCCACCATGATTCAAGAAATCTCGTTTTGGGGACCTTCTTTTTGGGTATGTGCCAAAATCATTTGGGGGTGGCATTGGACAGCCTTGGCACGCCACTGGTAAATGCCAAGTCTGACTGGAAAGCCGTTTTTGCATGGCTTTCCCATGAAGTATCGCTCACTTTTTGGGTATGTGCCAACATACTGTGGATGGACGAAATCCTGCACCACCTAAGAAACCCTGGAATGATTCGATTCCCCAACGTAAATACCAACAAATCATGGTTTCCCCCTGGTTTCAACCATGGTTTCAAAGTGGTGCCTCAGCGGATTTCGTCCATGCACAGAGGGGGGACCTGCCAACCAAATCGCTTGGCTCAGCCGTGCTTAGGGAGGCACCTCCAGCAGGAGCCAGCAAAGCCTCGGCCAAGATCCCCCAGCTCGAGCCACCCAGTCGCTTGGGTGCAGGTTGGTCTGGAAAAATAAAAACCAGATCACCCAGATCCATGTACCTGTAGGTTGCTAAGAGCTTGCCACCCTGTAAGAAGCCAACAGCAAAATAGCTGACTACCTACTATAGTTACTATATGGGGAACTGGGATCCACTCTTTGTCAGGTAGGAAGCGAACCACCTATGGTTGGGTGCCACAGTTGGTCTAGAAAAAGCAAGATACGAATCCCGTCTCGGGTTCCCTCTGGGTAAAGTAGCAATTATGTTTGCCATGTCTTCGTTGGAGGTACGGTACACCTGTTCTTCTGCTTTCAACGGGAAACCAACTAAAAAAAACACATTGAGGGTCCAAGATGCTTAGAGCAGGGGCCTCGGCCTTGTCAACTGTGATTTGAATAAACACCCAATCTGGCCGCGTGAAACTTGGAGACCTCTCAGAATGGTGGGTTACTTGATACATCCCGTTAAACACAAGTCCTCCTTGGCCTTTCACACAGAAAATGCGAAATTGCATGTGTAGATATATTCATGTATGTCTATGTACTCCATTGTTCGCTCCACTTTTGGTCACTGGTAAAATGCAAAATGTGTCTCAATCCCGCTACTACCTCGGCTTTTGCCCCCGACCAACCACATATCTTGATTTCCCCCCGATATTTAGTAAACATTTTTCACAAAACCTGTTGACATCATAACACATGTTCGAGGCCATTCCAGATTTCCAGGCCACTCATCAGATGCCCCGGCCTGGTGTCAAGCTCTCTTCACAGTACTCCAACAGCAACTCCTCGGCCGGAGCCGGCGAAGAGTTGGCCCATGATCTTCTCTTCGGGCATCTTCGGGCATGTCAAGGTGTCAACACGTGGTTTGACGCAAGAATTCGAGTGAACAAACGTGACGTCGGAGCTTTGATCTGTGAGTTTCCAGATGAATGTGAATGGATGTGGGCCAGATTCTGGTGGTAAGCGATCATGAAAAGGCAAACAAAAGAGTCTCAGGGTTCCCTATTCGTGATCGTCATACTTCCGCTAACACCAACGCACAAAAGAATAAAACATCCGAAAACGTTCTGTCCTTGGACGAGTCTTTGCTTCGAGTTCTTGCTGTGCCAAACACGTTCTTGCCACTTGGGCCAAACTTCATCGCAAACACTCATTTTCCCAAGGGTTTTGTCCATTTGAAGAGATTCGGAGTTTTGAGAATGGAAATGACAGGTACGGTTAGAGTCATGTTTTCTGTGTGCTGGGGGGGTGGGACCCTGGTTTCACTCACTTCCTGAGCGGGCTAGCCAACAAAAACGCCCCAACTGTTTGTTTGCCACTACACTGGTCCAACCCCAAAAAGGATCTGAAGTCCATGAAAAACCCGGGAGTGAGTTCAAAGAAACACCAACCCACCCCCACAAGGTCTCTTTTCTTTGCGGGACGACATCAAAGAAGTCCAACTTGCTGGTGCGATAGGCAGGGTTTCTGAGGGAATGACCCCAAGAAAAGCAATCCAACTTCTGGTGTCCGTGTTTTCTTCAAATGAACCCCTAAACACTGGTTCATTCGACTCCAACACCCGCTAAGCCGCGAAGTCATTCCCTATCGCACAGCAGGGAATGAGGGAATGCGCCCCTAGAAACAATCTCTTCAGATTTGGCTGTGGCTCAAAATTAAAGAGCTAGGGTTACGCAGGTTTTGGCCCATTTTCCCACTTACCAGGGTTCCATTTTAGGCACCGGTTTTTTGAGCCACAGCCTTATGGTTTCCTTGAAGGGAAATCCCCAACACCGGTTCCTTCGAAACACCCGGGGCCAAGCGACACCGGTCTTCGGATCGCTCCTCCTGGGGCAACTCGGTCTCTGCGGGTCGGGGCAGCCTAGGTGTCGCAATGCCACAGGGCCCGGCGAGTTCTAACAGTAGGGTGTCACAAGCGAAAGGAGAACCCGGGTGCTTCATGGGAGCCACAGGAAACGTGGAACATGCTTCAGTCCTACCCACAAACAATTTCTTTCACCGTGTGGCCATGTGTATCAAGGGCACATCCCCCGAAATCCCCTGGCCAGGTTCTAGCCCCAGGTTCTTTGGGAAAGGACTGAAACGAAACCCACAGGGCTCTATTCGATTCCGCAGGCCGGTTCAGTCAGTCACAAGTCTACCTGGAATGATACAGGTCAGCCAGCGTCCTAGCATCTTGAATTCGAGGTCTGGAAAAAGATCGTACATACCCTTGCGGTTTTCTTCAGAGAACTGTTGTTAGCTGCTTTTCATTGGAGCTTGAAACAAATCGTTTTAAGCATCAAGGCTATTTCACGCCAGGAGAAATCAACAAACACGCGGATCAGTTAGCACCCTTACTTGGGCCAAGCAGATCCGACAAACTGATTGAATCAACTTGTTGCTGTCAAGACAAGGCAAGCCACTCAAATCAACTTGGAAACCAACACGACCCCCTCAAAGAGATTCCTCAACGGATTTCTGGATTCATTGCTTTCCATGTTACTCTGCAGAGTGCTGGCAATGGGTGTGTCTTTCTTTGGGAAGCGGTTAAAGGGACATCAAAAGTAAACTGACCATTTCCGCTCTGTTTCCTTGTTGTGACACATCTAGGTGTGTTTTTTGTTTGAAGGGGAAACCAAAACGACAACCACCCCAAGCTGAGGAGTCCAAATCCTACAAGAAACGACACGCCATCCCAATGTAACCAGCCGGCCTTCCACCGACAATCGCCAAAACAGGGAAATGGCTCGGAAACCCTGACCATTTGCCTTGAAACGATGGCAACTTTTGGAGGCTCGAAACCCCCCTGACCCTGCGACCCAAAACCTCTCCGTGTCTCGGGTGTTGGGCGCGACTTCGGCGGAGCAAACCAGGAAGTGTGGGCCGCAGCATAGCGCCACCACCGGCCTGGCCGTTCACTTGGCGCGATCGGCGCGGATGGGAATGAAGGAATGAACCGTTTGGGGATTCGCAAATGGCCATGGGTCAAAATCCCGTACCCCCAGTGAACATCCCAATCCCCACCAAAACCTCATCCAGTTGCCAAGTGTTCTACCCTTCCTCCAACTAACAAGGCGGCTCAGAGTGGGTCACCGCAAGAGGAAAGTATTTAACCTTCCGGGTACCTCTCCGCAGCTGCTATGTGAGCGCGAGGAAGGATAAGTCGAAGACTTAAGCACATGGCAGTCAGCCAACAGAAGATAGCCTTAACCAGAACTCCGATGGGTGGCTCCTTCGCTCCCTCTCGAAGGGCAAAGGTCCAGCTCCCTTGCAGCCAGCTACTAGGTCCTCCAGTAGAGAGGATAGAATATGGGTACCCTTTTTCCTGTAGTCTATTTTAGTAGGGGAACCCTCCCCCAGAAAAGAAACGGTAAAAGGGCACCAAGCTGGGGGACCTAGATAACTCTAAAGGCAAAGGTCCAGCTCCCTTCCAACCAGGTAGCTGGCCTCTCCGGGCCAAAGCTGTCCAGCACCCAGGGGCCTTGCCCAACCTGGCGAACGCGAGAGGCGGGGCCCCAGTCGATTCGGGCGAGGGCGAGCGCGGTTCAGGGGCACTGCCGCCGTCTGAAGAGCACAGCATGGCGTGAGAGAGGGAAAGCGGATTACATCCCCCTTTGGCAATGGAAGGGTACTTCATGTCAGAAACTCGAAATGGATCTGGTTGCGCTTTTGCTCGACCAAGTGAACCCGAAGCAAAAAAAAACTCTGCGTGGACACCAGGAGCCAACCCTGAGCCAACCACAAGTCCAGCCTTTGAGCCCCAGTTCCCTTGACCGAATAGCGCCGACGAAACACAGCGTCTCCTTAAGTCCTTGACGAAAAATATCGGCACGCAGTTTGGCCAAGAATGGTTGCGATATTTCGCTGACTGGAACCAGGGCATTCCAAGAAACTAAATGCTATTGGAAGGCAATATGGTCGCAAGTGCGCCCCCCACGGAAGCCTTCAACACAAGAGCTGCTTCATTGGCAATGAATCACTCAGGGCTTCAACCAGAGAACGGTACTTTCCCCGACTGAAACGTGATGGACCCTGGTACGAATGCATTCAAGGCCATCAGCTGTCAGCGTTGTCCGGCCGAACTTTGCTTTGCTCTGGCCAATTCCCATAAGTCACATGGACATAAGGAACCCGCAAGACAAGCAAGATCGCAACCCTCCTAGAACTTCGCCATCCGGGGTTCATCGAAGTGACATTCAGGGTATCTACCCAGGCTTCGATTGTTGGTCAAGTGGATGCGGGTCAAAAACAGGGCAACCCCAAAATGGCGTGCCCTGACAAATGGAACTCTGGTAACTAAAGCCTGCGGTCCATGTCCTGGTGGTGACTCATTTTGACCCATACCCAAGTGACCTTTTTGCCCTTTCCCCGTTTGAAACGGTTCGATCATTTTCCCTTCAAGTGGCCACGGCCTGAACTTCGGCTGGGCCAACGCGCTGGCCTCATGATTTCACCAAAGTCACCCCACGTTCAGTGCTGGGTTCAAGGGAAACCACCGATTCCATGCTCTGACTTGGATCACCCCCAGAAAACGGCAGGATTTCATGACCCACCCCCAGAAAAAAAAAGATCACCGTTAAAGTCGTGACCCCAGGCTCTTGTTACTTGCCACTAAAGTTGGTCCAAACCCACAAGTTTGAAGTCCAAACTGAGGCAGTGAGGGGTGGAGCTCAGTTGCATCCCAGGCCAAAACCAGCCAGCGGCGCCTGTCTGTCGCGCAGGTCAAGACCCCAAAGGTGCACGCGCCTGGGGAAAAGGTTCTCCAAGGCATCGGTCCCCGAAAGCATAGTTGGCGTCCCTTTAGAACAACCTTTGAACAAGCGCCCTCAAACACCATCACATCATAGGGGTCCACTAAAATAGTGAGTTTCCCATAGGGTTTCCCTTTGTGTGCATTTTGAGAAACACTGGTATGATATGGGCCCGGAATCCTTATCATGGTTGTGTAAAGCCTCCATTAAGCGGTCCATGACCATCGCAGCCAACCTCTCAAGCAAAGGGGTCTTTTGACCAGATCGGTGCAGACCTGCCCAAGTGAAGTCTTGTATCCACTACTGAGCCAACACCCCGTAAAATCGAAGTCCTATTTGATAGCACAACCCTATAATTTAACGTGGCAGCTGAAACCCAAACGTCCACATTTAACGTAGCACCCGCGCCGTCTAGTATTATTGGAATTCTCTGGGGAATATAGGGATCGCACAAATTTTACACAGCCGATTTGGGGGCAAACATTTGATTTGGCCAAAACACGTCTCACAGAATAAGGAGTCGGCAAGAGCATGTTTCTTGCCAGACTGCGCTGACATAGAACTCCTCCGCTCCCCCCAAAAAGGCTGTTGTTGGTATCAGAATAGGTTCTGTGTTAGTATGTGTTAGTGAAGTCCGTCAACAAATGTCCCTGAGATTCGAGCATCACTTGTCTTCTTGAAATTTCACCGTAAACCAACTACCACATGCTTGTAACATAGAACACCCAGACCAACTGAAACAGGTTCTATGGTAGTGGCGCCTGCTGTCAATCAAGCATCCGAATGATCTATTCTCAGCCCAGGCCCCGTCCCAGGTTTCGGAGGTGTGCAAAGGAACAAAGCGTCCATGTCAGCCACTCACGACTTTGAGCAAATGGACCCACGGGGAGTATACCGTACGTGGCACCGTAGTTTCAAGCAGAACCTGAAACAGGTTTTCTCGAGAAAATAAGCCTAACATGGGACAGAAGAGTGACCGCGCGGCACAACTTCTCTTCGGCCAGCCCCAACAAAAAGGCAGGTGTTCGTCTGCAAAAGGTCTAGCCTTTGTTGGGCTGGTTTTCAGGGACCAAAGTTCGGATTGAGGGTACCCTTTTTAGGATTGGCTGAACCAAATCCGTACCCCCCTGCAAATTCGCATGGAACACAGAAAGGGGTTCCTACAACAGGAAGGTCCTCCAAACATGAATGGTTTTAGACCCAACCAAACAACTGCGCCCCTCCTGCACGTGACAAAACATCACCAGGAGAGCTGTGACTATGGCTCAACAATCAGCACGTCCAAACCACAAATCCACACCCTGCGGTTGGTACTGCTCCCGTGGTTTCTTTCAGCCACCTTTGAATTGGCAGAAGGGAACCCCAAAGAAAACCGTCCTTCACAAACACGGAGATGGACGGAATGCGGTGAGCCACAGAAGTTCGGGACTTTTTTTTGGCAGAACCTCTAGAACAAATCCTTTGCGAGCTGCGTAGGACCTCCTGGCAAAAAAAAAGAAGTTGAACTGAGCGGGCGCCCAACGAAACTAGCCCAGCTGCGATCTCCCGGACAGCTTCTGCCGTGCGGAGGCCGTCCTTCAGCGCTCCTCCGCCGAATTCAGCCCAGGCCTGTGAAGTCTTCAAATGGCAGTACGCCACGAAGAAGTCTCCGTCAGCTGAGACGCTGGCACATCTTCTGGCTTTTGTTTCTGCCGGGATCCAGCGATCGCGTGACGCTTCGGCTGGGATGCACGCTCCAGCTTTGAGACCACAAGTTTTCTCGCTCTCGCTCTCTGCCTCTCTCCGACCGCTGGAGACAAACCAATTGAAAACACTGAATCGGAGTCTGGATTGAGTCTGAAGATTCTATCTGGCATTTCAAGGAATGTTGACCCACGATTCTTACCGCTCAGGTGTGTCCCATGCCATGCGAGTCCTGTGTTGCCCTGGCTAGGTCCCGCCCTACCTCCCGCACAGAACTGTCTATTGTTCCTTTTGATGTAGCGAGAAAACCCGCTTTTCCAGCCCCAAAACGTGGGCAATGGAACCCCCCACTCAACCCTGAAACCCAAACCCGAAGGAAAGCGGAGCCAACCGCCAAGAAAATAGGCCCGGACAGCCAGGACATTCCCTACAATGGGATATAGGCCCAAACTGAATGGTTGGTGAACTCCCTTTTGGGTCGTTTGAGGGTCCCCCCCCCTTCCCTTATAAAATGGATGGTTGGGACCCCTTTTTGGGTCGTTTGAGGGTCGTTGGGTCCCCGGTTTCTCGCGCTGGGCTCCAGGCCCCTGGGAGCACACGCAGGCGCAGTGCAGCGGGCCGCAGCAGAGCCGCCGGGCCACCTCGTCAGCCGGCCGCAGCCTTTCCCGGAACTGGGCCATTGGGACCCATCGGAGTTTTTGAACATTTCCGGCGGATCGAATCATTATCTTTTTTGCTGGAAAACAAAAGGGACCCCAAAAAAGCAACAACACAAAGGGAGCTATTTCTGGGCAAGGTATGTACGGCGGCAAATCGAATCATTCCAGGGATTCTGAGGTGCTGCGAAATGGATCCACGGCAGTAAAACTGATCGCTGTTTATATGCTCTGCCCAATCCATAGCTTGGTTGACGTTGGAAGGGGGGCAAAAAATCACATTTTAGCCGTTCAGTGGGGATTGCCCACTAAACCACAAGAAGCAAAAATGTAAACATGTTGCCCAACAACAACCATGCCAATGTAACGAACTGAAAAGGCGGCCGCACCTAAGTTTGCTTGGGAACGTCCCTTGCTCACCTTTCCCAGGAATTCATTCTTGCTCAAATGGGTCTGTTTTTTTTGGAGGAGACCCCAAAAATGCTTGGTTTCCTTTTGGTTTCCGCTTATAATAACCACGAGACAAAAGGAACCAACTCAAAAACCCTGTAGAATTCCCAGATCCACGAAACCCGAATTGATGGAGGGGTCCATGGGAGATCTGTTTATACGTCCCATGGTTCCCCTTGGTAGATGGGACATGGGCCCAGGATTTCCAGCACCAAAGCAAATGCAACCATCGCATCGGAATTTCGGGTAACGGAGATGACTAAGCCGTGGAAACTCGGCTGGGGCTTGAGTCACCTCCGCACACTCGCGGAGTCAAAGCCGGCCAATTGGTACTTTTCCTACAAGCTTCACGCACGGTACTCCTACAGCCCGCAAAGCCTCCGGTTCTGCCTAGCTGCAAAGCAGAACAATCAGAATCAGGTTGTATCAGAACAGGATTCTCCGGTTGTTCTAGCCCTCCCTGCAAAGCAGAACAATCGGAGTTAAAGAACAACCATCGCCCTTCTGCTGCCAAGCACGTCCGGCACATCCATGTACAACCTTCTGAGGTCTTCTTAGGCGCTCTCCTGAACGAACAAGTCTGCAAAATACACTGGGGAAAAAAGCTTGACACTCAAGTCAGCACAGGTGAAACTCGTTGTTTAGAGCTTTAAGGGCTCTGCAAACTCTGCAGCACCTTGCACACTGACCATTCAGAGAGGGTAAAGAGTTAAAAAGGACCTAACAAGGAGGTGTGCTGCCGCAGGAATACAACCCTGTTCGGGGGGAAGACAAACAACAACCCGGTGCTTCAACAAAATCGTTTTGCCCCGCAAGTTGGCATTTTGGGGACGAACCACTTGGCCTACAACACTTTGGAATCATGTCCACGGATGGTTTTCCCGTGGTTTCCCTTTGAACCCCAAATGGGTACCCTAAAAACACACACACACACACACACATCTTGTCAGAGCGGGCGTGAAGGAACCAAGGGATTCCCTTCTTGGTGGGGAAACATACGAATTCGGGCTTGCCTCTGGCTAAATGATCGCGATCCGAATCAACAACCAGTGCCTTTTTGGCTGGACTGGCAACCAACATACACCAGAGTTCAACTCCTTTTGATGCAACAGCCAAGAAACGCCAGGAGAGACACCCTGCTACTCGGCTCCCGGGAACAAAGCCAAATCAGGTGATGAATTATGGAAAACCCCAAATGTGAAGCAGAAAAGATATCGGGCCAACATGCCGGCAGGAAACGTGCTTACAGTTAATATAACTCGCATTCTTGTGTTGTCGCCTCCCTCGTTTGACAATGCAACATGCGCGTGGTAACTGTGACCACACCAAGGATCTCACCAAACATGAGAACTGCAGGGAGTGACCCAAGCGCAGGGAACGAAACAAAAGGAGCAGCATAGTGTTGGTCCTACGAGTCCTTACCAGACATGGACAAAAATAGCCGTGCCAAGTCTAACCCGGTTGCTTTCTGCTCCCCTGCTAAAGGTTTAACTTTTAGTGGTTGTAATGGAAAGCCCATGAGTTGGCAACAAGTTAAAGTCCTAGCATCCAAGCAAAATGCACCAAAGCTAAGGTACCAAAACGCCGATCCAATATGTCACGTGCGAAATTCCAAGGCCCCGGGCTGCATCAGATCCGCACGAGTCCTGGCGGCAACCAAGTCGGGCTGACCAAGAGGTTCTGACCAACTGCAGCGACCCTGGCTAGGTCGTAGAGCGGTTAGAATAAGGGTACCCTTTTTTCTGCCGTCTATTTTAGTAGGGGAGCCCTCCCCCAAAAAAGGGTAAACATGGTAAACGGGCACTACTGGGGGACCTAGCTGGCATAAAAGGAACTATGGAATCCCGAAGAGGGGAGTACAGGGCTCCATGCATTTCCCCTTGAACCACCACTCCGCTCCTTTTCCATTGGTCCAACAGGTGATGTCTAAAACCATCCAAAGGGAAAATCCGCCGACCCTCTGCCTCCCGTCCCAGCCTCCTGCAGAGGGGACCGGCGTGGGATGCAACTGGAAGTGATTGGAATCAATGATAGTCCCTGCTTGTAGTCAGCCAAAAGTGGTCCTGGGACCGGTCCCGGGACCGGTCCCAGGACCGGTCCCGGGACCAGTCCCAAAACCGGTTCTGCGACCAGTGCTGACACCGGTCCTGGGACTGGTCCGGTTCCGGGCCTGGTGTGAGTGCTGGTATCGGGTCCCACTTCAAACTGCTGTGGTGCCACCTCAAACCGCTCCAGACACCTTTCCGGACTGGCACCCGTGTTTCAGGACACTGGACAGGGTCCCAGGTCCCAGTCACTCCCTGCAACCGGTTGAGGGGCACAGCTCAACGTGACTTTGGCACAAACCGGCCCGTGCGGTTATTGACGGACGAGCTGCCATCTGTCTGACTTTTCCGTTAATCCTTGTGGTAGTAGAGGATCCCTGGATCCATTTTGCAAGAGAGTCCAATACGTCGAGTCAAACCGCGCCAGACTGGGACCAGCCTGTCCCGGTCCCTGCCGGCGACCGGTCCAGGGCAACTTCGGGAGGGCCAGTTTCAGGGCGACCCCGGGAGAGGCGACTGCTCCCGGGCCAACTCGAAGTGACTTGGGCGCAAGCCGGCCCAAGCGGTAATTAACGGACTAGCTGCCATATTTCTGACTTTTCCGTTAATCCTTGTTTGTGGAGGATCTTATAAGTGGTCCCTGGGTTTGCGGACGTGTTTCAGGACCGGTCCTTGTGACTTGTCCCTTAATGCGCCGAGGGTCGGCGGCAGCAGGCGGGAGCCTGGTTAATACAGGCCTTGTGGGTAGTTGAGAGAGCCCTAGAGATTCTTTGGGTTTCCTGGGGTTTCTTTGGTTTCGCCTTAGGGAACCACCCTCCCCATGGACCACCCTTAAGGATTCCAGAAAGGAACCCTCTTTGGGGCTTGATTCCTCCATTTGCAAATACGCAAGCGGCAACCCCTGGCAAAAATAATACAGGAGTATTTCCAGTGAGAACTCCCTTCAAAGCCAACAGAAAAATAAAACAGCATCTGGAGCAAATGGAAGGATCCCATTTGGTGAACCCCGAGATTTGTTCAGATCCGACTCGGATGAACTAAATCGAGCCAGCCTCAAAAAGCACGTTTTGGAGCTTTGTGGTTTGGAGGTTGCGCGGTTTGCCCATTTACCCTCAAGAACAAGGGTGGGACCCCGACACCCCCAGAAAAAGAAAAAGAACAAGACAAAAACAACGTCTCCTCCAGGACTGGGCAGTTCGCAAAGGCGGGCAGGCGGAGCCTGTGCGGAAAAAAGAGTGGCACGGATCGAGGTTTGGGCTATGAACCTTAGGGAGCCTCCAGATGCTTGGACACCAGTCCCTGTGTATATGATGTCCGCCAATGGGTCACCCCCGTGTCAAGGGCAGCAAATGGATGACTGCAGGTTGTCCCGCCTTCAATACTTTTTGCGGTGCTGTGATTTGAAAAAAACAAACACGTTCGACAAAATAAGGTTCTCCCCCCCAAAAAAATAGAGAATCAAAAAGTCGGCTCTCGTTTTGCTTCCCGAACCCAAACAGGCAAACAATTGGGTACCTGGAGTCTCCATGACCCTTTAAAAATAACTAGGTTCATGACCCCATTATTTCGGGTAATGACCCCATTTTTAAAGGGTCATGAAGACTCTAGGTGGTTCTCTCAGGACTCAAGAAGAGCCGAACAGCCCTCGCAGGCGTCGCATGCAATGCGTCGAGATCGCCAGGTGCTGGGTCGGTCCATCCCTCCCGGTGAACTCCCGGTACCCTCACAAAAGAAAACAAAAAGACACGCACCCCAGCCGCCTCGCAACCCGCGTTTGCGCGCCTCTGGCTGCCTCGTTGCTTTGCACTCCTCCCCAACCTCGGCCGAGCCCCGACCTTTCGGCTGTGGGCTTGAAGCATAGGTGTCCTTTTGGGGCAAATAGATGGCCATGATGGATCTTTTGGGGCAAACAGATGGGTTTTCCCTGGTGGATATCAGGTAAACCAGGAATCGCCATCTTTTTTTTTCGAGCAAAACAACCAAAAAGGACACCTATGGCTTGAAGGTTGATCAGTGACTGTTTGTTTGTTCCTTTTCGCGGCGCCCCTTTTGGTGGTTGGGTTAAAGAGAAACCAACAAAAAAACCGAAGTCCATTTTTGTTGGGTCCCCTAACTTCAGACACACCCATATGGGGTATGGCAACCTCAACTGCAACATATCTTAATCAGAAACCTTGCTGCTTTATTGGAGTGCGACTCAATCATATCTCGTGCGGGGGTTCTCGAGCGGCAGGAAACTCTGGCTTCGAGGTTCCCTGTCGCACCCCGGCGGTGCCTTTTTCATTACCCTGCGCCGCTGGTTTCTATTTCAACTTGCGCCTTCTCACGCCCCTCCCGAACCTGAATTCAGCACGTGGCAGAGGGCATCTAAGCCAATACTGCTCTTCAAGCTGCGCTTTGGCTTGTGGAATTCATGCCAAAAAAAGCCACCAGATCGCTTTCTGGTGGGACTTGTGGGCCATGCCGCGTAGGGTTACACCGCTCGGAACCGGGGAGACTCCAAGGATCTGTTTGCTTTTGTCTAACATATTGATCTGCCCGCGTCCACTCGGAGTTTCCCAAACAGCTCCTTGCAACTTAACATCGTGTTGGAATTCTGCGACGACTCTGGAATCATGAGCCGTAGTTTAAGGATAGCACGATTTGTATGGAGAAGCCGTCATCCTTCCTGGACAGTTTCAGCTTTAAGGTCGAACCTATGTACAAATGCTCTCTTTATGTGAGATGAAGAAACCTTGAAAGAACCCTTGGAGGTACTTATATTTCCTCCCCTTTCCAGTGGGCCTGGAAAACGGGCTCCACTGCGCGGTCAAGTCTTCTCCGAGAGGTTCGGGCTGCCCCGCTGTCCGTAGTCATCTGCCCCGAAGCAAATCACGGCGCCCTGGCAAATGAGGACCTTGGGATGGACAAGGAAAAGCCAGGCACAATTTGCCGATTGTTTATCTTGGTTTCCTGTAGGTTTTCATGCATCTTTGCCAAGGTTGCCGGTGTCTTTCTTGGTTTCCCTTAGGTGTTCACGCATCTTTGCCAAGGTCCGACCTGTCTGCTGTCTCTTTCACGAAATCGGATTTACGCAGGATTTGCGGCAGCAATCAGGATGTTCGCCGAACCAAGCTCCTCATATCTTCCTCTGCAAGGTGACGCTTCAATGATTCAACCCGCGAAGCAAAGTGCGACTGGCCCGGGATCGTGTCGACTTCGGGTTGGTCTAGCTATTAGATGCGTTTTCCAGCGTACATGTGATGTTGTGATGAACAATTCGAGTACTCCAGCGGGGTCTCATCCATATGAGATAGATAGATAGAGATAGATAGATATAAAGATAGATGGATGGATGGACGGACGGACGGATAGATTGATGGATGGATGGACAGATGGATGTATGGATAGATGTGATGGATGATGGATGGATGGATGGATGGATGGATGGATGGATGGATGGATGGATGGATGGATGGATGGATGGATGGATGGATGGATGGATGGATGGATGGATGGATGGATGGATGGATGGATGGATGGATGGATGGATGGATGGATGGATGGATGGATGGATGGATGGATGGATGGATGGATGGATGGATGGATGGATGGATGGATGGATGGATGGATGGGATGGATGGATGGATGGATGGATGGATGGAATAGGATAGGATAGGATAGGATAAGATAGGATAGGATAGATAGGATAGATAGATAGATGGATGGATGGATAGATGGATAGATAGATGGACAAATAGATAGATAGATAGATAGATAGACAGACAGACAGACAGACAGACAGACAGACAGACAGACACATAGATAGATAGATAGATAGATAGATAGATAGATAGATAGATAGATAGATAGATAGATAGATAGATAGATAGATAGATACATAAATAGATAGATAGATAGCTAGCTAGATAGATAGATATATAGATTGGATAGATAGATAGATATATAGATTGGATAGATAGATAGATAGATAGATAGATAGATAGATAGATAGACAGATAGACAGATAGAGAGAGAGAGAGAGAGACACATAGACAGACAGACAGATAGATAGACATATAGATAGATAGATAGATAGATAGATAGATAGATAGATAGATAGATAGATAGATAGATAGATAGATTAGCTAGATAAATAGATAGACAAATAGATTGCATGGATGGATGGATGGATGGATGCATGGATGGATGGATGGATGGATGGATGGATGGATGGATGGACAGACAGACAGACAGACAGACAGACAGACAGACAGACAGACAGAGACATAGATAGACAGATAGACAGATAGATATATAGAAATATAGATAGACAGATAGATGGACAGACAGATAGACAGATAGATAGATTAGATGGATAGATAATTAGATCGATGGATAGATGGATAGACAGATAGAGAAAAAAAGATGTCATAGATAGATAGATAGATGGATTGGCTTGGCTTGGATTGGATTGGATTGGATTAGATAGATAGATAGATTAGATTAGACTAGACAAGATTAGATTATATTAGATTACATACGTAGATCAGATTAGATAGATAGCTAGATAGATAGATAGAATAGATTAGATTAGATTAGATTGGATTAGATTAGATTACATTAGATTAGATTTAGATTAGATTAGATAGCTAGATGGATAGATAGATAGAATAGATTAGATTAGATTGGATTAGGTAGATAGATAGATTAGATTAGGTTAGATTAGATTTAGATTAGATTAGATTGATAGATGAATAGATTGATTGATTAGATGGATAGATAGATAGATAGATAGACAGACAGACAGTGAGATAGATAGATAGATTAGATAGATTGATAGATAGATAGATTAGATTAGATGAGATGAGCTTAGATTAGATTA